CTGCCACTCCGGGGGGGGGGGGGGGGGGGTGTTGGATGCAGAGGAATCTTCGGCCAGCCGTATCCTTTGAATACAGAGGAGAACAGTGGTGCAGTGAGTGCAGGTAGGTATTAAAAGGCTTCATTTCCAGGCAGGATGTTTTATTTTGTATGCTCGTGATAAGGTTGCTTTAAGCTAGGCACATACCCTACAATCTGATGGTATATTCTCCTTTTAGATTTTACAACTATATAGTGCAAAAGCCTACCTGCCTGGATCAAAATCTGTGGATTGTTTAGGTGACTTTTTACACTGTTACCCAGTTGTTGGTGAATCCTGTGGATTGTACAATCAGATTGTAGCATGTGTGTATCCATCTTTAGCAGCTAGATACTACATAATATTCTTCTTTGTTTCTGCAAAGCGCGTCCCCTGACCTCCTTATACTCACCTTAACTGCACGCCATCTCTTTGCTCCTCTGCAGCCAGGGAAAATGCATGGCACTTCCGTGTATGGAGGGAGCATGTGACCTGCTACCCTGTGACAGTGCCCGGACCTAGCAACCAATCAGTAGCACACTTAAGGTGCCCAACCACCTTTCAATTATCTGCGATCGCATTTTCGTCCAAAAATCTGCTTGAAAAATGTTTGTCTTTCAAGCAGGCTAGACATTTTTTTGTCGAGTTGAATGGAAATTAACGGCTTAGTGGCGTTTTTGTTCAACAGAAATCTCAAAATGAAAGCTGCTCAAACGAAAATCTGTCCTTTCGATCGACGAAAATCGACCAGTTAGTGGTGCTGACGAACATTAATTGCGAACTACTGTGTTTCACCGAAAATAAGACACTGTCTTATATTTTTTTTGCCCCCAAAAACAACACTAGGTCTTATTTTCAGTGGATGTCTTATTTATTTTTTTTTATGTGCAACAAAATGTACAACAATCTAAAGTTATTCATGTACAACAATCCAGAGTTATCTGGTATCACTCCGCCTGTCACAGTAACCGGCGCTCTAGAGGAATATCGGCTAATGTGACTCTGCTCCCTCCGCCGCTGCAGCCTTGCTTTCTACAGCGCCGGCTTCCTTTGCCACCAGGGATAGTGGTACCAGCGGTGCAACAATGGGGACATCAGACAGTGGACAGCGTGGTAAAGTACGGTACCATTTACCGGTACACAATACAGTACAGTACCATTACATTAAGCAGTGCCTTCAGGGGCACAGCAGTTGGTGAAGTATGGTACTGGAGTGCTCCCTGTCACTGCACTGTCTGGATGGAGTCCCCTGTCATCCCCTTAATATTGTATGTCCCTGCAGGCTGATACCATCTCTCCTGCAAGTTCCCCCCTCACATGCTACCACCAAACTAGGTCTTATTTTCGGGGTAGGTCTTATATTACAGGAATCTTCAAAAATAGTACTAGGTCTTACTTTTGGGGTAGGTAGGAAACAGGGTACATTGGTCTGTACATCAGGGGCTGTTCGAGCAAAAATTGAATGAGAGCGAGATGTCTAGACAAAAAAAAGATGTACAATAGTTGTCAGGTGTATGGCCACCTTTAGTCCCCATAGGAGTGACCTCAACCCTCCCCAGGTTGCTGACACACCCCATTTTAGCATTGGCTGTGTAGTTGCAAGGAGCCTTGAGAGAGCCAGAAAGGTGGCATGTGGTAGTCAGGAATGCTCATTTCAGACACAATGTAAGGGGACACTTCATGGGCAAGGTGATATTACCCCCCCCCCCCCCCCACACCGGGCGCGTGTGCGCCCGCCCTCCCTCTTTT